CATATTATTAATAACAGTTATGAGATCATATAATTGTGAAGGTATATATGAAATTGATAAAATTAAAATAATAATTAAAAAAAAAAAGAACATTCCTACCAAGAAGCAAGTAATCAGTTTATGAAAGGAGAGCAAACCTCCTTCCCTTCTAGCTCTGATGTCGTTCCCTAGTTGGGTCATGAAACGTGTGTGGGAAAACCACCAACCTCCGAAATCCCTAGTTCTCCTCTTCCTCCTCTTCCCCCCTCCTTTCCAGAAACCCCCCCTCCCTTCTAGCACTGATGACGTTCCCCAGTTGGGCCATGAAATGTCTGCAAGCAAACTAGGTTTTAGATTTTACCCATCTCAGAGAGCACCAAGGATCCCACAATCCTTTTCCTCTTCCTCCTCCTCTTCCTCCTTCTCCCACCCACCCCCAACTCTCCAAACCCCACTCCCTTCTAGTATTGATGATGTTACCTAGTTGGGTCATGAAACGTCTTCAAGAAAACCAGGAAGCTCAGAGGGCACCAAGGACCCCACAGTCCTCCTCTTCCTCCGCCTGCCCTTTCTTCTCTTCCTCCCCCTCCCCCTCCTCTCCCTCTCTGCAGCACCCTCCCCTTCTAGGACCAGTGATGTTCCTTAGTTGGGTCATGAAACGTCTGCCAGAAAGCCCCCCCCAGCTCAGGGAGCATCCAGAACTCCCTCAACTGAATGGAAGTTGAGGCATCCGACATCCACCGTTGGCAGCCCCAATCCAGAAATCAAATCCTTTCCCATTTTCGTCACTGAATGAGCCTTTCAACCCCCCACCCCACCCTCTTTTGTGACCGAAGGACCGGAACTGGGAGATCATTGACACCTCCAAGGCCAAGATCGAGCAGTTTAAGAGAACCATGCCTTTGATCACGGACCTCAGGAACCCAGCTTTGCGAGAGAGGTAGGCGGCTTCCGTGGGCCAGGAATCACTGTCCCGGGGTGGCCGAGTTGAAGGACACTGACCTGGTCTTGGGCCCAGGAGAACCTTGACCAAGGATGGGTGGATAGATAGATAGGGAGACAGAGAGAAAGACAAGAGACACGCATAGAGAGAGAAGGTAGAAGGAAGGAAGACAGACAGACAAATAGAGAGATGGTAGATAGGAAGGAAGGAAGGAAGGAAGGAAGGAAGGAAGGAAGGAAGGAAGGAAGGGAAAGATAGATAGATAGACAGACAGGCACAGACAGACAGATATAGAGAGATGATAGGAAGANCTGAAAGTCTCCGTGCAGGAATCTTCTAACTAATCTGCTTTATTGCTAAAAGTCTCTGCACAGGAATCTTCTAACTAAACTGCTTTATTGCTGAAAGCCTCTGCACAGGAATCTTCTAACTAAATGCTTTATTTCTTAAAGTCTCCGTGCAGGAATCTTCTAACTAATCTGCTTTATTTCTGAAAGTCTCCGTGCAGGAATCTTCTAACTAAACTGCTTTATTGCTGCAAGTCTCCGTGCAGGAATCTTCTAACTAAACCGCTTTATTTCTTAAAGTCTCCGTGCAGGAATCTTCTAACTAATCTCCTTTATTGCTAAAAGCCCATGCATAGGAATCTTCTAACTAAACTGCTTTATTGCTAAATGCGCAGGAATCTTCTAACTAAACTGCTTTATTGCTGCAAGTCTCCATGCAGGAATCTTCTAACTAAACTGCTTTATTGCTGAAAGACTCGCTTGTGATTACAGAGGAATTCTAGCCTGATTCCTGTTTTGACCACCTCCACCCCACATACACCACTCATCTTCTCTTCCTAAAGGAAAAGGGGAGATCCCACGCAGCCTTCTCACAAGCAGAGGTGGTTGGGTCAGAAGTAGGCGCAGCCAATATGCCGGCCACCCCCAGAGAAAGCACGGAAGTCATCCAGGTCTTCTGTTCTTCTCCACCGGCAGGTCCCTTCACCAGTGCCGTCTCGGCCGACGCTGCCCTGGAGCAGATCCTGGCCATGAGGCAGTTGCTGGCCACCATGAAGGAGGAGGAGAACGCCCTGCGCTCCAACCTGGGCATCTTCAAGATTGACCAGCCGGCTTCCAAAGACCTTCAGAAGCTGGAGAGGGTGAGAGGACCCTTCTGCCGTCGACCTTCTCGAGAAGATCTCCGATCCCAAGGTCGGGCTTCCCGTCTCACCTCTGGGCTTGTCTTCCCGGTTTCGGGCAGGAGCTGGATTACATCCAACAAGTCTGGGAGATCACCAAGGAATGGGAGGTCCACTGGGAGGAGTGGAAGAACGGGAGCTTCAAGACCCTGAAGACGGAGGTGATGGAGAACACGGCCTTCGCTCTCTTCCGGAAGCTGAACAAGCTTAGCAAGGAACTGAAGGCAAGAGAGCCCCGGGCGGCGTTGCGGTGGGGAAAGAGGGGGGAGACGGTTCAGGAGCTCCTTCGTGGAGAAGGGAGATTGTAGAGGATGGGTCTATTCCGCTTCCCGCTTGGACCTGGGTTCAAAGTTCAATGGGAGGAGGGGGTGTGAGGAAGGCAGGAGGGATTCCCCACTCAACTGCGGCCCAACCCAGGTCACCTGGATTGAGTCAGAGAACCCCCAAGGACATTTCTACCAAGGAGGGAATGTAGGAGAGAAGGAAGGGGGGAAGGAAGGAGGAAAGGAAGGGGGAAAGGAAGGAGAGAAGGAGAAAAGAAAGGAGGGAAGGAAGGAGGGAATGTAGGAGAGAAGGAAGGGGGGAAGGAAGGAGGAAAGGAAGGGGGAAAGGAAGGAGAGAAGGAGAAAAGAAAGGAGGGAAGGAAGGAGGG